CTCACGGCGCTTCGCGCTTGGTGATGTGAGAGCCTGGTCCGGTGAGAACCCGGCGTGCTCCGTCCCGGCTTTGTAGGGATGCGAGGTCAATGGTCTAACGACTACGGCATGCACGACTATGAGTACCCCCCCTCCCCCCCCTCTATATCCCTGGTTGGAGAACGCTAAAGGTGCTGGCACGGCTGCGTATTGGGTGCCCGGCTCCGGCGATGGCAGCCTTGCAGGTGGGTGCTTTGTTTGCTGGTAAGGTGTGTGTGGCTTGGTGAGGTCGGGGCGCGGGTCTGAGGTTTTGGCTTGACAACATGAAGACCTCAAATCTCCTGCGAGATCCGGCCGTCCGCGCGTTTGCACGCACACGCGTATGTAGTGCCAGTCCGCCACCATCTCCCAAACGTTTCCCTCCACAATGATAGCTACAACCACCCACCGCGAGCTTCCCTTGCAACACAACCTGGCCCTGAAAACCTGCAACCGCGTTTGCATAGGGCAAGTACCCTGGCCAACTTTCTCGAAAGGCGTTGCTGTGTAAACGCCATGGTTGTTCCCTCTGTTGTTGTGTTCTAGTCCCGGCCCGTTGTTTACCCGAGATCGTCTCTCTCTGTTTTATGTATCCTCCTCCGTGTTGCTGTATCTTAGTGCATCGCATCGCGTTACTATATGCTCGCCCCTCTTTCTTCTCTTGTGCTGTTCCTGGGGTGAAGGCGAAGACTACCGGCCTGCTGAAGCAGCAAGGCGTGCTGCTGCCGCAGATAGTGGAGGAGTGCGTGGCAACGTCTAGGCGTCTGGCTTCTTCTGCTTCAAAGGAGGGAGGGGGGGCCGCAGAATCGCCTCCAGGTATATATGTCAATCCACGAGTCTCTCCACCCTTGGGTAGGGAAAGGATGACTCTGGGGGTTGCTCTTGCTGCTGTTGGGTGCCGCTGCTGTTGTTGTTGTTGTAGTTTTTGCAATATTGCAATGTTGCATTGTCGCTGCTGTTGTTGTTGCTGCTACTGCTGCTGCTGCTGCTGCTGCTGCTGCTGGCGGTAGTGGCACCGCTGTCGCGCACGCTGCTACCCCCGGGTTTCAATCCTTTTCGAAACGCCGGTATCGTTGATTCGGGGGCGAACGGGGACGTCTTATTTTTTACTGTTGCTTGGTGCTTGCTTTTCTTGTCGCAGCCGACGGGGGTGTCCTCTCCCAGTCTAATCCAGTAGGCCGCTTTCGAGGTTTTTCAAAGTGCCGGCACGTGGGGTAGAGACTCCATCCGTAACAAGGTTCAAAGCACACCTCGAGAATGCGGGGAGCGTGCTACGTATTTAGTTGTGTAATACGACGCTCGCGCTATGGCATGCAACTAACCACGGCTTTGACAGTGTTTGGTTGTCTTTTCTTCCGCCGAGTGAGCTACATAGAAGCGATACGAGCACGCGTGACCAATCGGCAGATGGTAGTGTGCGTGGTGGAGAGCGAAAAGGGATATGGCGTATGAGGTAACACACCTCGGCACGTTTCCCCGAATTCGGCCTCGGGTATCAACCCGCTGATCGGTTCCTCTCGTTGACTCCTTATGGCCATAATCTGGTGCCACTCTCTTCTCGCCCATCGTGTGGCCGAAAACACACAAGAACGACTTCGTATCACCGCGAAACGGCCCTTCCTTTAAAAAAACGTAAATCACCACAACTCTCTCCCCCCTCCATTGTATCTTTGTTCACGGAGGACCCGCCGCAAACAAATGTTTTGTCTGTTCCTGCTAATTTTAAAGCAACAATCGCTACCTACCTTCGCTGCTTGTCAGGCCTGCCCCTCGTGGAGGAGGAAGGGCTTAGGAGCTTGCTCATGAGAAGCGCCGACCCCAACAACGAGGTAAACCGCATGGTCATAAGAGTTAGCATGGTACATGAATTGCTTGCTGCTGCTAGGCAGCAGCTTTGCCTAAAGTTTCGGCGCTTGTGCACGCCCATCGCCGCCGCCGCCGCCGCCGCCGCCGCCGCCGCCGCCGCCGCCGCCGCGGGCTGATTCGTTGACTGGGACAACTCCGAGAAGACTGCCCGACCGAGGCGGTTGCTCTATTTTCGTTCTGTGCGAGGTTTTGCGTCTGTCAGTGCCCCAGGGGGGGGTTGGCATCGACCCGAGCAAGCTGCCGAAAAGTGCACGATAATACCGCTTTGCGCCACCCCTACCCCGGTCTTGCACCCGCCCTGCCTCCCTCGATGTTTCTTTACGTGTTTGCGTGTGTGTTCTCTTCATGTTTGTATTTGTATACAAATGTTTATGCGGGCGTACAAACACAGAATACCGGTTTCATGCACAGCGTGCCGCTCCCCCCAGGTTTTCCGCGTGTTCTTCAAGCGCGTTCTTCTGTCCCTGAAGGGGATGATCGCTGGAGGGGATGCGGCGGACGTCTGCGTGCGCAACGGCATGCAGTCCTTCGTGGAGGAGATGCGGCCTGTGGGGGCCAGGCTGCACCGCCTTTTCGCGCACAACGTCAAGGTACGCTCTCAAAGCACTATGTAACTGCCACATGTGTGTGGTACCAGATCGTCGTCATTACACAACCTGAAGGCAACTCTCGTATATAGTCTAACAGCAGTATGCAGTAACTCCCGTATGTATATGGGTACCAGATTTATTTGTCGAAGACAAGCTGTTATAGTTCTACGACCGAGATTCCCAAAAGCAGGTGTAGGCATAAATAGTAGTTCCCCTCGTGTTGGTCTTTTGGGTGTATTTGATTTGATGACGTCATTGATTGGGTTGTTTCCCTGTGCTCCGCCAACATGACGGAAGACAACACAATACGCCCCCTGAGGTGCAATCCGAGACTGACTCCCGTGGGATCTACATTCGTAGATATCTGAGGGAACCAACGTTCATGAATAGTACAACACTTGAAAAGCGGGGTTGATGTCCCCCGCCCCCCCCGGTGTTTGTCATCGGGGTTGGGGTTTCGTCGCTTGGCAACGACGTTGTAAAACAAGCCAATTCACTTCGTGAGCTCTGCAACCAGGTTACCGTTTGTTTTTTTACCTCCGTTTGTTTTTTTTGGCGGTAACCATAGTGGTGGTCGAGTAGATCATGTTGTGCGGGGTCGAGAACCCTCACTACGCGCAAGGGGGATGATCGCACCACGTTGTGTTAAAATGGTCAAGCACCCTCGAGGCAGTTACACAGTGCTTACAACTGTCTCTGGAAGTGAAAGCACCAGAAAATAAAGTAATTCATACGCAGCTGTCATCCGTACG